CAACAGTGCATGCTCGGCAAGTGTCTAAAACGTTCAAAATGGCTTGGATTTCTTGCTCAAACATTTTCGATTAATTGAAGCTTTACAACATCGTCAAGTATATAGCATTTTAACCACTTAAGATAAATTGCAGAGTTGTTTATACCTCAAATCTCATGCCGGGGACACTATAGTTCCAGTCCTGTATCTATTATCTACTCTGTGTATATATCTAACTACTTTAAATTTCTTCTCAATTTTGAAAGTTAGCTGCGGAGAGCTAATTCTACACCTGCAAGTTCTGTTCTATAAACACAGAGGAAAGCAAGTTCGTAAATATATATTTATAAGGTTTAATCCATGCAAGCATAAAAAGTTTTATACAACTATATATATATATATATATATATATATATATATATATATATATATATATATATATATATATATATATATATATTATAGATATATAGATAGATACTCGAAATCTAATTAGAATTGCATATGTTGTGTAATTGCATATTACAAAACATATGCAATTCTAATTAGATTTCGAGTATCTATCTATCTATCTATTTGCGGACAACGTTTTGGCAAATGGGTGCATGGGTGTATATATATATATATATATATATATATATATATATATATATATATATATACATGGGTGTATATATATATATATATATATATATATATATATATATATATACATTTATAGATATATAGATATATAAATATATATATATATATATAATATATATATATATATATATATATATATATATATATATATATATATATATATATATATATATATATATATACACCCGTTTGCAAAAACGTTGGCCGCAGATAGATATATAGATAGATAGATACCCGAAATCTAATTAGAATTGCATATGTTGTGTAATATGATTGAAATCCCATGCAAATGTAATCATATGCAATTCTAGTTAGTCTTCGAGTATATATATATATATATATATATATATATATATATATATATATATATATATATATATATATATATATATATATATATATATATATATGTGTGTAGGTTGATAACACAAGTAGCTGTATATAGCTATATAACTTGCACATTTTCTGTAAAATGGTCTTGCTTCATATAATATTATATTCCATTTGTTTTTAGAAATTATCGCTCAGCCATCGCGGAGACGCGTACAACTATTATTATTATTATTAAACTTTATTTACACACGGTATTCTCAATCACGATTTTCATACTGACAAATGGACGAAACAAGATTATGAATTACAAAATAGGACTACAAAAATATTTACAATGATAAATCAAACTAATAATTAATATACCTGCTTTTCATGAGAGCCGTGTATATAGGGAATATATACAAAAAATATAATATAATACAATTGTGCATATATAGATTAAAATAATTTGGAACAGCCCGCTTTAAAATTTGATAGGTTATTTGCTAGCTGTAGCCCAATCGGTAGGCTGTTCCATCGCACCACTATAACTAAAACTATTCTTGAGATAGTTTGACATTATGACTTACATGCATCGAATCAATCCAAAACTGAATTTATGCTAATTGGCTCACGACAAAGAAAAGCTACTTTCCAATCAGACCCATGTTTTGAAATAGACGGAATTCCTATAGACAAGGTTTCACATACAAAATCTCTAGGAGTTCACCTTGATGAAAATCTATCTTGGAATATACAGATTAAGGAATTAACAAAAAATTGCTTCTGGTATTGGCGCTTTAAAACTCGTTCGTTCATTTTTCCCAGTTGCAACATTGTATTTAATTTTTAATTCCCTTGTCCAGCCATATTTCAATTATCGCTGCACAGTTTGGGACAATTGCAATAAAACCTTGGCAGATAAACTTCAAAAACTACAAAATCGCGCAGCGAAAGTGCTGACCTTTTCAAGCTATGACACTAATGCCGACATCTTACTCGATAGACTTGGCTGGAAAAGTTATCTTCCCAAGACTTAGTTTTCTTTCTCTTCTTTTTACTCTTTTTTGTAAGACTTTCTTTGGCGTTGAGCTGTCTATAGATTACAGGCTGATCAGATTCATGATTCAGTTGAGTGACTTCATTATTATGTATGATTTCACAGGCCGGTTCAATGTTAATTTCTCCGTCTTTTGAAATCACAGTGGTAGTCATGGACGTTTGTTGAGAGTCATTTTGAAAAAGCTTAAGAGCAGTCAAAAGGCTGCTCTTTTCGTTTTTTAAATTCTTATTTGCCATTTTCATATCAGATATAGAACAGGACATGTTCATATTTTGTGCCCTAAGGTCATCATTCATTCTGATTAGCTCAAGATTGTCTTCCGTTTTCCAAAACCAGAATAGAGTAGGGTTTACTTTCTTTAATATTGTTTATCTCAACTGTAATATCCTGTAGTTTGTTTGCCACGTTTTCGGAAAATCTCTCAATTTTCGAATTCAATCTTGCTATTGACTCGGAGTCGCAGTCATAGCTGGAGTTGCTTCCCAAGTGATTAGCCAATTTGTTAAGTTTGTATGCATACCGATTGATTTCAGAAGCACTGTCCAGATCTTGATTTAAAAGCGAATGTATTCTTGCCGTTATGTCACTACCTTTCTCACCATCAAAGTTTATATTTTGGCTTTTTGTTAGCCAAGTAACCGATAACAGCTTACTTTCAAATAACCATTTACCGCCACTGGGGGAACGCCATGTTGTTGCTTCGGCAGTCTCCTCATCAATTTCGGTTAGTACAAGCGCTTTCAGGGTTTCAAGAGATCCCGTCTAAATCAATTTATATTTCTTAATGTTGAAATAACGGTAAATAACACATTTAAAACAGTTGAGGAATTCATTTAAACTCAACAGAACTTGAGAAACAACAGAGCTCCAAAATACACGTCCGCCTCGGTCAGTGTACACACCTATTGTAGGATAGATATGACTTCTATAGCCAGGATGAGCTTAGATGTTTTTAAAATTGCATGAGCATTTTTCTGGACGTATATATGTTTAATGAGCTGGGTAAAAGTACACCTATATGCTTAAGTATATAGACTAAGCATGCATGACTTATTCAACAAGATCTAATTATAAGACGAGATGACGGAGAAGTCTCTAATCTTAGCCGATAGACAGGAAGAGAAAGAGGCAATAAAATAATTATTATAATAAATGCACGACAACACGCAGTTTTAGGAATTCTCCAGAAGAGTCAAAGATTTACAGAATCAGTTTATACTAAATTATAGACGAAGAGATCTGCAGTACTACCAATATTCCCCGAGCCGGCGCCGTGTGAGGGTACTAATCCCGCCCGGAGATTAGGAATTACACCCGGGTATTCTGGCGAATCCAAAGTTGCCCCAGTGAACTCTAATAAAACTGGAACGATAACTTGGCCGCCATCTTTGAAGCCAGCACTGATGGCCGCCATGAAGGCCAAGAGTTGAAATCACACCACCAAAACAACGCCGGTTTTTATACACAAATCCATCTCATCTGATCATGAATAAAAGCTTAAAACAAGCATTGACACTTAGATTTTACTAAAAAACACGTTTTATGAACGTGAAAGATGGAAACCTATTTTTTTTTGCGAGTTAAAGGCGAAGTTTTTTTTCGGCCTGTTCAAATTCTTTAAATATTTCAAGTACAAAGCTGGTACCTCGCCGGTTTTTACAGTAAGATGATGCAGATTACTTAGGTCTATCCAAAAAGGGTAAATTCGTTGTTTAAAGTTGAGGTGGTCACATAAAAATTGCACTTTTCTGGCAATTTTTTGCAAAAAAATACGATTTTTACGGAATTCTCACTCTCTCCAGTTCTTTTGAAGGCTTGATTTGCTTGCGCGGCTCCCGCCTTAATCAGCAAATTATATTCAAATCGGCTTCATCCAATGACTAGTCTTTATTGTTGGGTTATCGTTCCAGTCTTATTAGAGTTCACTGAGTTGCCCAAATGTCATGGACGTTGAATGGTTATGGTAGTTGTGCGCATACGCGAAATTTTAAGGAAGAAAGAACGGTCGTCTACAACTTGTTGATTGGCTAAGACAAAAAGAGAGTATGCATTAGAGCGTCAGCATTTTAACCGTCATTTTGCAAACTGTTTGCAAATATTAAAACAATAATAAAAGATTTAAAGATCATCACAGCACAGAAACATTTGGTGAAATAGAAACAACTCGTAGTTTATAATCTTTGAAGTGGTAGGTGTCTATATTTTGCTTATTCAGTGTTTGCTGTAAGAATGCATTGTTATTTTATTACAAGTACTAGCTTGGTATGTCGTTTTACAAGGAACTAACCGACCGTTTAAGGCTTTACATCATCGCTTAAACTTTAAAAAGAGTTCTCAAAAGTGTATTTCAGAGTTTTGATAAAACAAATATCACTTTGCAGCTTATATAGTCGCTAAAATCATTGAATAAAATAAATAATCGAAAAACAACATTCGACGTTTAGTGCTTGTATGGTTATTATAATTATTTGTGTTGTTTTGATGTTTTGAAGGTTTAGTTATAGAAAAGTTTAAAACTCACTTAAACTGCAACGTAATGCAGCATGCAGGCAAACAGGTGATTTCTGTTCACATTTAGGACTGTCTTTGTTTCCGAAAAATTTGCACGCGTTATTTCATGATATTAGCGTAGAAAGTTAGGTCTGGGTAGTGCACGAAATATTTTGCTTCATTTAAAATTGCGAGAGGTTGCTGCCTGCATGTATTTCTAGTAATATAAATGAAATGTGTTTCCCACATCATAAGGGCGTGTACAAAACCCCTCCTCAGAGTTCGCATCTGAGTAAATGCCATGCACGAGTAAATTCAGTTATAGTGAATGCAGGAGTAAATTTAGCTATAGTGTATGCACGACTAAATTTAGCTATAGTGAATGCACGAGTAAATTTAGCTATAGTGAATGCACGAGTAAATTTAGTTATAATCTATGAAGTCCTGACACATTTTTGTTTTTTTTATAGTGGAGGCAACTGTCTACTCACAGGCAGCAATAATGCTAATTATGGCGATCTTCGCAACCATGGGAAACAGTTTAGTCTTGATTGCCACCTGGAAGGAGAGAAGCCTTCATGAGCCAAGCAAATATTTCGTTGCTTGCCTGGCTGTTGCTGATCTTTCAGTCGGTTTGTTCGTGGCTCCGATTCTGTCCTGTCAGATCTTCAATGAAAAAGAGAACAATGAAAGAATCAACTCTATCCATCTTTGCCGTTTTATCATTTGGGTCGATTCATTTGCTGCGACGGCATCTATTTACACACTGACGTTCATCAGTTTCGACCGATATCTAAAAGTCAGCAGGCCACTTCAGTACAGAACAAGAATGACAAATTCAAAGTCAAGAAATATCATCAGAACCATCTGGTTCATTGCAGCAAGCTATGCGACATTAAGTTTGTTTCCCTACGAAAATTACTCGGGTATCATATTATATCCCAGATGTGGGTTAGTAAGTAAAGGTCTTCATACATTCACCGCAGTTAGTGCGTTTTTTGTTCCAACCATAATCATATTGGTCATGCAATCTCTCATTTTTTTTGCTGCACACAATCGACGCAAGAGGATGCAAAATGGTGAATTGGGCCAGATTTACACCAAGGACAGAGTGAAACGAAAAGATTTTCATCAAGATCTTCGAGTCATCCGCATGTTGTTAGTTGTCGCGGTTGCATTTATAATTTGTTGGGGTCCCTTTTTTTCTACGTTGATGATAGATTATTACTCGATCCCCATCAGTTTTTTATAATTGCTATAGCTACGCACATTGCTTCATTATTTTGCGAATAACACATACACTTCCGATATTTAACTCCCTTTTAAACCCAATCATATATGCGTGTCTTGATGTAACGTACAAGAAAGCTTTCAAACACCTGCTTCGGAGGATATGTCAACGAAATGATTTATCCTCAGAAATGGAATACCCCAGAACAAAGTTAAAAGGCATTAAGAAAGGAATTCCTGTGAAACAGGCGGACAATTCACGGTCTCCTTCCACCGATTCTGGACTTTTGTAAAACATTTCGTCTGTTTCTTTATCCTGCAATTGTAAAAATTGAACTACGCTCGTTTGTCCAGTCTCACCGTTAATTTTTAAAGAATTTAACTAGCCAATTTCCGAAGTTGTATAATATATAGGAAGCGTCTCTAAAATAATAGCGATAAATAATGATAAATAATAATAACGATCTTATAACCACATATTTTTGCATATACTGCAATAATGCCCTTTAAATTTAAAGTATAATTTAACAGTTACAAAGAATAGCTAGAATACGACTATAATTTTAGTGTTCAATGAAATAGTATCTTTAGTGTCTTTAAAGATCAGTTTCATGGTTGATGAGAACGTTGCGGTTGCCGCCGTATTTCCCAAACTCTCTTAGCGCCAAACTCGGTGTTGTTTGTATGCGCAATCTGACGAAAATCGTAGTTCTTGGGTTTTTGAATACGTAATCGATAACACTTGCAAATTCGTACTTGAAACCTCAACGCGTACGAGTTTTTTTTATTGCGTAAGCAAAAACCACACGAGAATGATAGCTATCATAGATAAGAAATGGACATATGTTTATATCTCAGTAATAAAAATGTCCCAAGGCAGGCATCTTGTTGGCAGGTGTTTATTGCTTGATAATCGTCATTTGTCATATTACGTCATCGCTTTTATGCTCTCTGCCTTGTGACCCATTTCACTGTTTTGGCATTTTGCGGCGTGAAAATTCATTTAAAAATAAATTTATTAATTTATATAAATTACAAGCCAAAAAAAAGTTACGAGAGTAAAAAAGAAACAAAACTAAAACATTAGATAAATAGAAAAAACACATTGTATTATATAATTATCATATTAATTAAAACATGAGTTTAGTTATATATGGATCGATAAATTACGGTCTACGGCACATGAAAAAATAATCTAAATAAACTTTATTAAAACTATTGTATTTGATAATAATACAGACTACCACAAAAAAAACGATTGACTGAATGACAGATCATTAGAACTGTCATTAATATATGAAGAAATATATATTCATGCATGCATCTTAGAGGCAAATATAGCCGCGGGATGAGATTAGAAATTAAAATCTGCTTTTGATGCAGCAATGAATTTCTTGAAACTGTTGCTGATTCTTTCCTATATCTCAAGTGAATTTCCAAAAAAAATTTTCAACAAAATGCTTTCTTTCATCGGCAACCAGGAAGATATCTAATGGGTAGCATTATTCGCACAAAACTACGGAGTTTGAGTGCGCCATATATTGTGTAAGAGATAAAGATTGCGTTTCGGTGAAGACAAAGCGAGCTGATGTTGGTCTTTGTGAACTCAACAATGAAATTCTTCCAGATGGATTCAATTGTCCTGCTGTCAAAAGCGAATTCAACAACTAATATTCAACAACTTGCAGAGGAATCGAATACTCCTTTTGTTCTTCAACAGAACACAAATTTAGGTATGTCTTTCCAAAATATATATATATATCTCCAAAGAATTGACTGTAACAAGAGTTCACAGAACTTGACAATGGTTGAAGAGCGCTCAATACCATTACCCGCAGAGCGAAGATATATTTATTTATTAAAAGACTAGCTTAGCTACTCGGAGTTTCACGCTATAAAGCGATCATCAGGCTAATGACAGGTAGCAACTAGACCTGTCATTAGCCTGATGATCGCTTTATAGCGTGAAACTCCAAGTAGCTAAGCTAGTCTTTTAATAAATAAAGAAATATATATATATATATATATATATATATATATAAATATATATATATATATATATATATATATATATATATATATATATATATATATATATATATATATATATATATATATATATAACATGTGTAAAACAATGTGCCCTCCCACTATCACCAGAGCGCAATGGTGACTCCTGCACTCACTCCTGCACATATATATATATATATATATATATATATATATATATATATATATATATATATATATATATACTGTCGTTGTCAAAAAGGTTGTCCTGAGCAAGTATATGTATATATCGATCACGTGACATTATTATATGCATCAACAACCGTCTATCGTACTCTCAGCACCTTTTCGAATACGGGTGATGTGAAGCCTTGCCGTATGGGTCGCCTAACAGCGAGCGTATCTTTATTCCCACACGAAGAATATATTATCATGGACTGTTTACTGCGAACGCCGCAAATATAGTTGAATAAGATAGCAAGGTATATGTAAACCTCTTCAATAGGATTCAAATCAGGACTGTCGTACACTCGTTCTACAACCTCTTGTACATGATGTGTTGGGTGGTTATCTGTTAACAAATATGCATATATTACTAGTTTTAGCAGTTGCATCTTTGTGCATCAACAAGCTTTGTTTAAACAGATATTAATAGATCAAAACATGATCACAAATTCAGTCATCCCTTGAGACATATGTTAGAACAGCGAATTTGCATTAATTATATTCAAATCTCAACCATATAACGAGAACGGATCGCGGGTTTTCCCCATCAAATCGATTCATAGCTGGTAAAAGCTGTTCATCAAGAAAATGGATAAAGAAGCGTGTTTCAAATCTTTCTTCAGGATTCTTTAACAAACATGCAGTTCGCAAGAAGTCCATCACACGATATTGCCGAAATAATGGAAAAGTGCGGTGTCCACCGTGCATGCATATATAGATATATTATACAGTCGCTCACAACATGGGCGGTATCCCACGAGCACTATATCCATATTGCCGAGCAATTCGTTTATCCTGAAAACATAGAACCAAATAAATAAAAGATCTACTAGTTTGGGCAATCCAGTTACAGTAAGGTATTATTTAGCACATACAATGCCTGTTTCATCGAGGAAAACGAGCAGGTTTGGGTCAAAAAGGCTGATTTCGGCCATGAATTGTAGCCCAATATCGTTTCTTCGCTGAAGGGCAATTCTCTGTATCTGAATTAAAAAGAAAATCTGGCTTGAAGAGTTGATAAAGAACAACTAGAATCTTGTGATAAATTGGAAAAAGGTGGAATGGCTTGCGTCTTATTAATATAGTTATATGATTTCCAGCGTGCGGTATTAAGTATATATTCCAACTTAAATAATGTCATAATGTTCGTACCTTTTTGCGTGTTATTCCAAGCCTATAGAGAGTTGGCCCGCTTTGCCGAGTGACCCACTTCCTAGATGTTTTACTTATTGTTTTATAATTTCGTTGGAAATGCAAACGTTATATCTTATCTTAATAGTTTACATTCACCGAAGGCGTCAAACGAACGAAAAGTCTCATTACTGAACGGAACAATCGTTAAAATACAGTTTCCCATCGGCTAAGAGCGCTGAATCCGTAGAATAGCAAGCTCTTATACTGGACGAACGTTTAATAAAGTTCGGCTTAATTTATTCGCCCGAAAGTTGCCAGCTTGGAGAACTGAACGCTTGCTTGCCTACTTACGGAACGCGAACATGGAATTTGCTTGCATGAGGTGTTATAACTCCGGACCGGTGGCATGTCAAAAATTTTTATATTTCACAACCAGGGGTAACGGTATATAGCTTACTCACTAACTTTCTAAGATCGTCGTGCATGTAGCTCTGTGCGAATGTATCCCATGCAGTTTTAAATCATATATAGTACTTGCTTGAGTATATTACGAAAACATTCCTTTTCCCGAAAGTACTGAATATTTTGGCATTCTTAAATCTGATCGTGAATCAAATGATATTACTAGACTGTACATATAGCGATAACAAATCGATATTTCACAGGGGGTTAAGGTATAAAACGAGTTTTATATATCTTGAGTTTTATCTATCTTGATAGAAAGGGATCGCTAGAAAGTTTTATTGCTTTTTATTACGTTGTCGGGGCTGCACAAATAACTAATGTTATTCCCTAGTGATTCTTGTGGCTTTGCCTATAGAAACGTTTCATTTTTCAAAACTCTGCACGAGTATATGAACAACTTGACACGTACGACACAATAAGTTAGGAAATGTAATGATCAATAGATTAGGCGTGCACGGGTACCGACATAGCTACGTTCGATCCGAAATTGATATTAGCGAATTGAAGCACAATAAATTCTTCAGAATTTGCACGTTCCAGAGAATAAACGATAGGTGCATATAGAAAACTGACCGGTCAAATTTTCATCTATTTTTGCATGCTATATGTAAGGACACCTCAACCGGACAAACAAGGTCCGGCCCAAATTCGCCTGGTCCCAACTCCCATGTGAACGTAGCCTAAAAAGGCTAGTTTAAAACTATCTGGTGCTTCTCAAGTGCCATTTAAAACAATAGTCAATAATTTATGATGCTTTATTATCACTATGCGTTCGACACATGAGAAGCACGACGTTTGGATCAGGCCTAAAGCCGTGCTCGGGCTTTGTATTTGTAGCCTGATTTAGTTGTGTGTCTGATTTACTGTAAGATTTATAGGCTCGTATTTGAGTGTAGGCTTAAAATATGGTAATATTTTGGTGTTTATGACACGAACTAACGAAATGAACGATAATGAACGAAATGAACGATAATAATAACTTAAAATGTATTGTTTTATAGGTGCTGTGTACTTTAAATGTGATTGGTTCATTCGTAGTCACATACATGACTTTAAATAAATGCAATGTTTTCCGCCAGGGAAACGAGTGAAAAATTTTTGCCCGATTCTTTTCATAACAAAGTAAAGTGGGTTTCTTTTTCCAGACTCTTAGGAAAACAAAACTCACTATTTCCCTCGGGAGCATAGCTACATTATAAGTGTATAATACTCTTGTATGTTTGCATTGTGACATCAATGAGTAATTTAGCTTGTAGGTATAAACCACGTAAGTATTTAATACTGCAAAGCTTTCGGCCCGTTAACCAGTGTATTGTCACGAACGATTTTAAAACAGAGGTGTGCAAACTCCCTTGAGAACAGAACGCAACAAAACAGCGACCTTTACCAAGAACGTCACGAATCGACATTTTTTTGCGAATTAACGTATCTAATTTGGAAAACATTACGAGGTTATATGTTAGGTTTACGAGTCTATATGCATGCACGAGTGATATAAATATTGTTTTCAAAATCTTCGACCTCGTAAAAAAAATGAGTTACTGCAAAGCTTTCGGTCCGTTAACCCGGGCTTTAATAAAATAAATAATTTCCATGAACTTAAATTTTTCATATCAGGACTATATATATCGTCGGGCTGGCTACACCACTAATTTAAATAAACACTTTCCAGCACACATGCATGTTAGATAAACAATCAACTGATGAGTTCAAGAGATAACAAAACTTTTACCTAAACTCTAATCTTAATTTCTCTCCAATTTACACATACATGCATCCGTGACCACATAAATACGAGCGTATTGTCACGAACGATTTTAAAACAAAGGTTTGCAAACTTCCTTGAGAGCAGAACGCAACACAACAGCGACACTTTTTTGGGAATTAACGTATCCATTTGGAAAACATTAGGAGGTTAGTCTATATGCACGAGGGATATGCTTAAAATATTGTTTTTAAAATCTTTGACCTCGTATAAAAATGAGTTTATATATAAATTGGTCAAAAATAAGATCATAATTTATATCTCTTAATTTTAACGTTATATATAGATTTTATGTATGTGTGTGTGTTTTTGTAAATTACGCGACAATTGCTTGTAAGGCGTACGAATTGCACCGAATTGTTGTGAAAACACAAATAAAAATTTATAGGAAAATTAAAAGACAATTTACAATTAGTTTTAACCAACATTATAGCGAACGTGAAAACTTCTAGGGATTTGAAGTATTTTTATAAGCACGCATGTTCTTTATAAGAAAAGTCTTTGCCAGTCAATATTGGTATAGTTATGCTAAAGCGATCGACATGCATTTCAAATTTTGGGAAATAATTATATTACTATATAAATTTCTTATTGATGCAAACTATAGGAAAGTCAGTGTTTGACGAACAAAACGATCTCCAATAACACCACAGCGAGCAACGGTACATATATCCAACAGAAATCTGGCATAATCTTTTTGCAATGGATAATGAAACACATTTCGGCCCTGGCAAAACAGGTGATATAATTACTTCCCGCCAAGATATATATATATATATATATATATATATATATATATATATATATATATATATATATATATATATATATTATCAAATAAAGTTTGTTGAACGCGGTAATGTCTAACTTAAATTTTGATATATGTCTGGAACAATTCTGTACAATATTAGTCGAGATCGAGCCGTTTAAAATAAAGGTGCATTTTTTGACGAAGCGAATAACATGACTAAATATCGCGACTCAACTAACGGTTATTTTCAACTTCCACGAGTTTGGATTTGTTTGGAATATGCAAGGACTAATAATGCAAGAGAAGTTTTAGCATAAAAACAGTGAGGATTTGCCAGACGAAGCTATCAATATTTGTTCTTACTGTTACGTGCTGTTTTCATTCTATTTTAGAACATCTTTTGCTTCTCCCAGAAACGCTACCTTGAGTTTGAACGCCTATATCTTGGCTAATATTATATAGAAATGAACAAGGCTTACATTAAAATTTAAGTTTAAATACCACTCCACTCAATTGACTTTACTTTAAAATGATATCTTTTTTAGTTTTTAAATTAAATTAAGTCAAAGAGGAGGAACATTTTTTTGCGCCACCCGGTATATATATATATATATATATTTATATATATATATATATATATATATATATATATATATATACATATATATATATATATATATATATATATATATATATATATATATATATATATATATATATATATATATATATATTTATTTATTGAAAGACTAGCTTAGCTACTCTGAGTTTCACGCTATAAAGCGATCGTCAGGCGATATATATATATATATATATATATATATATATATATATATATATATATATGCATATATATACATATTATATTATATTTAATATATATATATATATATATATATATATTTATATATGTAGTTATATATATGGAATTCAATATGTTATAAGAAATCCTAATAATTTCTTTGGTAGTTTCAGCAAATACAGAATACGACAAAAATTTGACCTTGTATCTACAATTACTGGGTTTAAGTTGCAGCATCCCTTGTCGGAGAGGCAATTTTTTCCTTCGTAAACGGACGTTGCCATTTGAAACAGTCGTTGTAAAATTTCAAAACAGTGGTCAGTCAGAAGCACATTAAATAAAACACTGTATTAAGTTTAACCTAGGGTTAGCGCTAACCTAGCTTTGAACAACTGGTCCCTGGTGCTAAGCATGGCGATTATTTGAAACGATCGACGAACGAATGGTATACGTGCGAGACATTTAGCTGCCAATTGATAACGGTATAGAAAACATTGACAAATTTTTAAATTTAATCGACCATAGCAAGATAAGCTTAAACACTTTAGTTTGATCGATGAAACTCGACTACATCATATCTTTACCTTGGATAAGTTGGATAGGTCAAGTAAATTACATAAGGCTTCTTCAATACGTATAAATTATTAACTTATCGAAGAGGGTATTCTACCAGCTTGGCGAAAACCTTGATATCATGCAGAAAAGCTTTATAGCTTCTGCATGGAAGTATAATTACCTAATTATTAGCTCGTTTTCAGTTATCGCAAGAGCCACGAATTATTACTTCCCGCCAAAATGTCTGGTTATTGCAGATATAATATTTAAGACATAAGATACAATATTTGGTATGTTCCATAAGAAGATATAATATTTAAGATCATTATCGTCAAAATGTTTAGAAACAGAACTAAACAAATGCTGCACTTCGTACTACAGCAATAGAAGTGCTTTAAGTTTACTTTAGGGTTTGTTATTTGTCACACAAGTGGTGGTGGTTGCACTGGAAAATGAAAATTGATTTGACATTCAAACTTCGCGTTTTGTTCGCAAAGTCGTCAAATAAGACGGGCCATGATGGAGTAAGGAAAGCGATACATCAATCTTTCTTCAAATTATATCATATGAGCAAAGAAACAAAGCAGAATTTTGGTGAGGTATTTGGTCACTTCGCAACTGAACGCCTCAGCGAGCTCAATTTGGGAGAGAAGGAATACAATTTGCATACCAATATTCGAAATCATTCGAAACCACCGAAACATGCCGGAAAAAGGCCAAAATCCAAACTTACGAAAGTTCGTATCACCTATTATTCGAATGCTACCGCTACTAGACAAATTCGACTAATTCGTGCGGGGGATGTAGAACAAAACCCAGGGCCAAGCTTGCAAGGTACAGCCATACAAGATTCAGACTATCTGCAAGATTTTGCTAGTGAGATTCAAAGCGGCTCATATAAACTCAGCGTTGCTCACATTAATATCAGAAGTCTTCGAAACAAGGCTGATGAATTAAAGGTTCTCGTTCAAATGCATGTGTCGTTTTGATATACTGGCAATAACAGAAACCCACCTTGACCGAAAAATATCAAGTAAAATAATTAACATAGAAAATTACAAAATATTTAGCAAAGACAGGAACTCTGGAGCTGCAGGTGGTGGCTGCTTAATGTATGTAAATGACAACATTTGTTGCTCACGTCTTATATCCTTATATCCTCCTCTCTTATATCCCGAGGTCGAGTAAATTCAAGTGCTTTTGTTGTTGGAAATTTCTATAGACCACCTTCGGACCTTAAGTTTTTCGACCGATTTAGTGAAATATTGGAAAGAGTCTGGATAAAGCATCGAAACATTCTGCTAGTAGGAGATTTCAACGTGTGATATGACTCGGAAAAGGAGAAATCTAACAACAAATGGGATAAGACTGCAGAGTATTTTAGATCAATTTGAATATACAGTGATTAATAAGCAACCCACTACTGTAGAACAACAAACGAGACTTCAACTCAATCGACCTAATTATTGTTAGCAAATCTGAACTGGTTGAGCAAACAAAAACGCCTTAGTAGGCCTTATATGGAAAGAGCATACCAAACTAAAATTGGAGAGTTTATAATTGGTTGTAAAATTGCAAAAATTATCGCCATGCGGAGTTTTTATAGCTCAGAATTTATATATAGATAATAGGGAATAACCGGTTGATTGCTGCTTTTAAGTGCGACACTGACGTCATCATCGCTTCGCGACGGACATCCATGATGATGATTATTTCGTATATTCGTTAAGCATTATTCTAAGTAAGGAGTGGAAACACTTTGACGATATTATAGCTTGTCGCACCTCCAACCCCTATACAAAGCCATGTTGTGATATGTACTATTCAAACCGGGAGTGAAAAAATATTTTATTTTAGAATAGCCCCACAAAAGTGCAAATTTTAAATTTCGGACAGAGATACAGTTGTTCGTATACACCCTGAATATCATGATGAGCCTTTTTGATAATTCTAAAATTGAATGTGTTCATCCATACCACAGAGTAAACAATAGATACAGAGCTGGAACTAGGCGGCCTATAGTAATTAAATATGGCCGCTTTTTTTAGTGCGCGTGAGCGTAAAGTGACCAACAGGGCATGCTCGGCAAGTGTTTGAAACGTTTAAAATGGCTTGGATTTCTCGCTCAAACATTTTCGATTAATTGTAGCTTTACAAAATCGTCATCTACGGCATATAACCACTTAAGATAAATAGCATTTTAACCACTTAAGATAAATTACTTTAAATTTCTTAAAGTAATTACTACTTTAAATACTACTTTAAATTTCTTACCGATTTTGAAAGTTATAGCTAGCTACTGTTATTACATGTTAATTCAATAGTATAAAGAACAGGCCCTAATGACATATAGATAAGAGGTGTTTACATGTATTTTTTGTGTTTGCTGTGGAGAGCTAATTCTACGAAGACCTGCAAGTTCTGTCCTATAAACACAGAGGAAAGAAAGTTTGTGAATATATGTTAATAAGGTTTAATCCAAGCATAAAAGTTTTATACAACTATTTATTATATATGGCACGCGATCTTGTGACTAAATGGCGTGCGCTGATTGGTTCTTTGCCGGTCTGGAATCCCCCAGTGTTAGACCGTTGCCATAGTAACGGTCCAACTCTCATATTCTTGAACAAAAACAAGCTTGCACTTTTATTTTTGACACGAAAAATATCGACGGAGAATAGGACGAAGAAGAGCATTATTTGGTACATGTAAATATTATATTTATTCATCTTTGATATTTGTATATATTACTGTATCATTCTTATTTAACGAATAAAAAATAAAGTTTTTGAAGCCACTTCAGTGCTTGCTTGGCGACTGGCTGGCGAAAGAGCCGGCAAGAATGCTGCAGCGCATTGCATAAATAAATAAACTAAATACTGTATGCCGTATAATAAATCTCTTATTAACCGAATACGTTCGGTCTGTACTGGAAAAATATCAGACCTCGGTCTTCTATGTACGGACCTCGCTATCGCTCGGTCCGTACTGTCAAGACCTCGGTCTGATATTTTTTTAGTACGGGCCTCAAATTCGGTTAATAAGTGGTATACATATATTGCTATAGCGTATATTGATGAGTTGTCTTCTTTATAGATATGCAGCGGGTATTACTTTATATATATTATTAATTATATATATTTTATATTTTAGATATAACTATACTTACATGTTTTATAAGTATACTTCAAGCAAAAACAATTAGTTTATAAGTATACGAGTAGCCTTATGTATATGGAGTAACATAAAGGGAGTTAAGGTTTAAAACCCATTATTCGACTTCTTGCGATAACATTTTTAAATATCTTAAGCACTATTCAATATCTTGCCAATCTTTTATACATTTTCTACATAATGGTCTTCCTTGATATAATATAATATTCCATTTGTCTTAAGAAACTATCGCACAATGAGCCATCGCAGAGACGCGCACAACTATTGTAGGATAGATATGACGTCTCATAGCAAGGATGAATTTAGATGTTTTTAAATTGTTATATTGCATGAGCATTATTCAGGACGTATGTTTAATGAGCTGGGTAAAAGTACACGTAACGCTCATCACCAAACACAGCAATGTAATATAAGTTCTAAAAAACATTAAAATAACTTGTAACTCTCCGAAATAATATCATAAAAGCAATTTGATACTTTAAAAAAAAATATTGAAAATGGCACAAACTAGAGGGGCAATTTTTTAAAAGTATATATATTGACACAATTTTCGCCAACTTGAATTTGACAACAGTCAATTCAACGCCCAATATCTCGGAAAATGCCCGGGGATCACCGAGATCATTCCAGCAGATTTGAAGCTTATAAGATTGTCTTTCGAATTACCAAGAATGAAGAAAATCGATATTTCATTTCAAACCTTGTAAACAGATTTACACCTAAGTCGGCCATTCCCGGTTCAAGCCTCAATATAAGATACAATATAATATTTACAGAAACCACTAGATCTTTACTTCTTCTGTAAGTGCACTTGAAAATATACCCGAAAATTTAAATATTTATATTTTTTCTCTATTTATTTCGCGACGAATGCAAAAATTTTAGCCAAAATTTTTCTCAAACGCGATGAGAAAATAGAGCGATCTTATTGGTCGAGAGCTCAAGTGACAACTTGCTAATTGCTTGTCCAACCTCCTCTGGTTTATACTAATTTACAGACAAAGAAAGATCTGTATATCAAAGTGTATTATTGTATTAATGATAGTAATAATATAAATGAAATGTGTTTCCCACATCATAAGGGCGTGTACAAAACCCTTCCTCAGAGTTCCCCAAGATGGAGGGGCGAACCCATGCACGAGTAAATTTAGTTATATGAAGTCCTGACACATTTTTGTTTTTTTCATAGTGGGGTCCCCCTTTCAGGAAGCAACTGTCTACTCACAGGCAGCAATAATGCTAATTATCACGATCTTCGCAACCTTGGGAAACAGTTTAGTCTTGATTGCCACCTGGAAGGAGAAAAGCCTTCATGAGCCACGCAAATATTTCGTTGCTTGCCTGGCTGTTGCTGATCTTTCACTCGGTTTGTTCGTGGCTCCGATTCTGTCGTGTCAGATTTTTAATGAAATAGAGAAGAATCCAGCAATGAACTCTATTCATCTTTGCCGTTTTCTCATTTGGGTCGATGCATTTTCGGCGACGGCATCTATTTACATACTAACGTTCATCAGTTTCGACCAATATCTAAAAGTCAGCAGGCCACTTCAGTACCGAATAAGAATGACAAATTCAAAGTCAAGAAACATCATCAGAACCATCTGGTTCATTGCAGCAACTTATGCGACATTACATATGTTTCCCTACGAAGATGACTTGGGTATCATATTAGAACCCGAATGTGGGTTTAGAAATAAGGGTTTTCATACATTCATCGCGGTTAGTGCGTTTTTTGTTCCAACCATAATCATATTGGTCATGCAATCTCTCATTTTTTTGGTTGCACACAATCGACGCAAGAGGATGCGAAATGGTGAACTGGGCCAGATTTACAGCAAAGATAGAGGGGAGCGAAAAGATTTTTATAAAGATCTTCAAGTCATCCGCATGTTGTTAGTTGTTGTGGTTGCATTTATAATTTGTTGGGGTCCCCTTTTTTCAACGTTGATGATATCTTATTATTCCCCGTCAGTTTATAATAATTATTGCAATGTACATGTTTGCTTCATTATTTTTCGAATAACACGTACACTTCCGATATTTAACTCCTTTTTAAACCCAATCATATATGCGTGTCTTGATATAACGTACAAGAAAGCTTTCAAAAGCCTGCTTCGGAGGATATGTCAACCATGCTCAAAAAAAAATCAGAACCACGAAACCTTCGAAATGATTTATCCTCGGAAATTGAATACCCCGGAAGACAGTTGAAAGGCATGAAGAAAGGAATCCCGGTAAAACAAGCGGACAATTTATGGTCTCATTCCATCTACTCTGGACTTTTGGAAAACATTTGGTTTTTTATCCGATTGTAAAAATTGAGCTATTCTCGTTTGCCCAGTCTCACCGTTAATTTTTAAAGAATTTAATTAGCCAATTCCCGAAGTTGTATAATATATAGGAAGTCTCCCAAATAGTAACGATAAATTATGTGAGCATATTCATAAGTAATTTATTATAATTTAAACCATATTTATATTTTAAGCCAACGATCTTTATAACCACATCTTTTTGTATATACTGCATGATAATGCAATGTAAAGTGTAATTTAATATACACAAATATAAAGAAAGAATAGCTAGAATACGAATATAATTTTAGTGTTCAATGAAATAGTATAATGTCTTTAAGGATCAGTTTCATTGTTGAAGAGCACGTTGCAGTTGCCGCCGTATTTCTCAAACTCTCTTTGCGCCAAACTTGTTTGTACTGTATGCGCAATCTGACGAAACTCGTAGTTCTTGGGCTTTTGAATACGTAATTGCTCACACTCACTGATGACGTAATAAGCAAACAATACGCGAGAATAGCATCATAGATTAAAGATGAACATATGTCCGTCTCAGTAATAAAAAACAACTAGCAAGTGTTTATTGCGTGATATTGCGTGATAATCCTCATTTGTCATTACGTCATCGCCTTTGAAGCCCGTTTTACACAGCGAACTCCACATATATCTGGAGTAAGAACTTTGGGTGTAAAAAGTGAAGCCAAAGATAGCGGAAATTGAAGCGCTATAGTACGTCAGTTTTAGTCCTCCTAACTCGCGCGGCCAAATATTTTTCATTGTTTTTGACCGGGAGTGACGTTCCCGAAACCCTCAGATTTTCGTGTTTTTCATCATTTTGAGAGCACAAGAATGGAATTTTTTCATTTTACAGATAACCTGTTTCGCTGCATCTACCAGATGTGGGTGCCAAATTTTCCGACTGTACGTGTGAGTAAATATGCATTTTTCGCCATAAATTCAACTACGCATTTTAGATTTGTTTAATTTTTTTAATTTTGAGTTTTTTTCCTATATTTCCACCTCATGTTTTGAGCGTCTTGTTTCGTTTTTGGTTTGGAAAGGCTTTAACGCTAGTTTTCCTTTATTTTTTAGCCAGCTTTCCTAGCATAGGGCTCTTTTTGAGGTTTCTTTTATATACGTGCATTATGATTGACTCTTGTTTATAAATTTCATAATCATATAATTATTAGTATTACTTCAAACTCGTACGTTTTTCAGCATAAAAAAATAAAGTTAAAAAATACGAATTTAGTTGACCGCGCACATGGGAGGACTGAAACTGACGTACTATAGCGCCTCTATATTCGCCATTTTTTACTTCACTTGTTTGCCTCACGGAAGTCTTAAGTTCTTACTCCAGATATATGTGGAGCTCACTGGTTTTACACAAGGCGAATTTATTCGCGCGACGCGATGCGGCAACGCGACGCGAATTTTGAGTTTTCAGAAGCATATAAATTAAATTCTGAAAGCAAAATTTGGAAACTATGGACGACTTTGGAAACTAGAGCAGCCAAAATGTTTTATGGTTATGTAATCTATAAGAATATTATGATAGTTTAAAGTTTATTTGATTTTGACAATAATTTACCAATTTATATGAATTAAAAAAAGTAAAGTTACGAGAATAAAAAACAAAAACAAAACTATAACATTAAATAAATAGAAAACCGCTCGTTGCATGCATGCCCTGCGATGATTTCAGCGTGCGAAACACATTGTATTATATTTCATACTAGAAATACATGCATGCAGCAACTCGTCGCCTCGGTTGAACGAAATTAATTAAGCATAGGGTTGGGGTATTTGTGGTATTGTTGGTATGTGAGAAGAAAAGTATGGAAATATATTTCTGGAAGCGGGTTTCTGGATGTATTGGAATCTAAGCTTAACCAAAATTTGGAAAACGTCAATAATTGGTTAATATCAAATAAACTTACTCTCAATATGACTAAAACCGAATATATGTTAATTGGCTCAAGGCAAAGATTGAGAACACTTTCTGAAAATCCTAATTTCGAAATTAATAGCGTTCCAATCAAAAGAGTCTTTAAAGCAAAATCTCTTGGCGTCTTAATTGACGAGAACTTAACCTGGAGTTACCATATCGACAAAATAACTAAAAAAGCAGCTTCTGGTGTCGGCGATATAAAGCGTTTGAGGTCTGTTGTTTCATCAGAAACATTATACCTTGTCTATCGAGCTCTAATACAACCTTACTTTGATTATTGTAACGTCGTATGGGGAACCTGTGGAAAGACCTTAGCCAATCAACTCCAGAAACTACAAAACCGAGCAGCTCGAGTATTTACCTTTTCAAATTTTGACGCGGATGCAGGACTTATAATGGAAATTTTAGGGTGGGACAATCTAAATACGCAACGTCAAATTCAGAAAACGTTGATGGTTTATAAGTCTACACACCGTCTCACTCCTGAATATCTATACATTTCAAATTTATAAATCGTAACGATGTAACTAACTATTCACTCAGAGACTCTGTGAACAAGCTTGCTGTTCCATTACCCCGCACCAATTATCTTAAAAACAGCTTTAGTTATAGTGGCGCGGTCTTGTGGAACTGCCTACCTACTAATATCAGACAAGCAGAATCCCTAAATGAATTTCAAAGATTGTTGAAACGTTATATTCGATAAACACGGCATTTATGGAAAACAGGTTCATATATATATATATATATATATATATATATATATATATATATATATATATATATATATATATATATATATATATATATATATATATATATATATACCACCGTGGATAAATAAAGTTCAGTTCAGAAGCACTGTAGTCATAGCAACTCGCAACAACACGCAACGGCCGTATATTTTTTAACAATCAAAGTTCACCCTCAAATTTTTGTGAAAAAAATGGTAAAAATACGACAAGATTCCAACCATTATCTGGAAGTGAAGTTACTTATCTATAGTCACTGTTATGGTAAATTATTTTAATCATTAATCCCTGAGCGGGCGCTCCGCGAGGGTACTAATTCCGCTCGGAGATTAGGAATTACACCCGGAACCCTGGAAAACATAGCTGAGTCCAAAGCAGTGAACTCAAATAAGACTGGAACGCTCACTCTGCATGTTGGAAGTTTGAAGCCAAGATGGCGGACACTGAAGCCTTTCTTGTAGGTATGATCCAGGCTTCCACGCGGAAATTTCGTAGATAAAATGGCGGCAATTTTTATTTTTTTTCCTTTGAAATTTCCGCGCCAGAGGCCTGGATCGTACCTACAAGAGAGGCTTCATGATCCGCCATCTTCGCTTCACTCATTGAATGAGGGAAAGTCAGAGGGAAAGCCAGAGAGTGAGCGTTCCAGTCTTATTCGAGTTCACTGGTCCAAAGTTGTCCAAATTCTATGTCATGGACGGTCGACGTTGGATGGTTTTGTAAGTTATGCGCATGCGCGAGTAACGACTGATAATCAACAAACGTTCCGATTGGCTAAGACAGACTGAAGTTTGTATTGTACAGTATTATACACAACACTGTATGTATTTAATAAAGCTACCGGAGTTCTACTGACAATCTATAATTAAAAACAAAAGAACACCTGGTGTGTCAATTGATGGCAGCGTATATAGTGGCATTGCACATGTGATATTGATGATATTGATGTTAAATAATAGATAAGTTCTCGCAGCGTGTGCTAATAAAATTGTCATATTTCTATGTCGGCAACATTATTATCATCATTAGACAAACAGCATGGGCTAACTGCTATGAGGTTGTAAGATTATCATAAACTATTAAAGAAGAATGAAAAAACACGAGACACATGCAATTTTCGTGTTCACTTCTCTTGCCGTGAAATGACTGGCAACAAGGCGAAAACCGCAAAATATTATTGGGGCATCAATAATATTTTCCATGTCAATGCGTATATTGGAATTGTAGCAAGAACTGTGGGATTTTTTCTATAGCATTTGATGTCGATTGTCAAAATTAAGTCATCGCTGCGTGCTGTTAAAAATATTATAGCTAATAGACAAACAGCATGCGACTAACTGCTATAAGAAACTACTTATTACTATATATATCAAAGAAGAATAACAAATGCGAGGCATATTTTTCATGTTCACTTCACTTTCCACGAAATGAAGTTCATGAAAAACAGCAAAATACAACACGACAAACAACAACCAAAGTTCCTTTGAAGTTTAAAAATTTATTCGAAATTTAGACAAAAACGCGCTCGTGCCGCTCCGCATCACACATTAATTGCACGCAAAATTTTGACCTTATTTACAAGGCACTATACAAGAACTTTGTTCAACTCCCTTGATGTACGCGAACAAAACTTTTCGGCAAAATCTCTTCCTTTATGAAAACCAAACATTCTTCAAACGCAATTGCAACAACAAACTTCTTAGTAAGCCCAGCAGATATTTTTGCGGAAACAACATTTGTTTCCGAGTAACAAAAATGTTTCGTAACAAATTCAGAAACATTTCCTGTTATTCAAGCTTTACCACGAAAACATTCTTTTCGTATTTGCCCATTGTGGAATACATGGTAAAATCATTGTCAAGAAACAACATTGTCTTCACAACAATATTTTCAGGCCACCCAGCTTCCTTCAAAGTGGAAGTAAAATCCCCGTATGTAAACAATCGGTTTGTTGACATTTTAAACTTTTATACTTTTTGAAATACGTTATGTTGTCTGAATATCTAACAACATTTAAGCTCGTTATACCTATGAATATAAACTAGTGTTTTTGATGAGAAAAATTCGAAACATGCGAAATTTGGGGAAAATTTCTATCGGAGGACTTCACATTGTTTTGAGCAGAACTGATGCGTAGACTTGACTTCCACTTGGACTTCCACTTTAACCGTTAGTCAATCAAACTTCAGTTAATCTTCAGAATCCTTAATCGTGGTTGGTTAACTTTCGCACCAGCCACATGCATCCACTTAATTTGAACTACATTTTGTGTAACTGTCCCGTTCATCCTGAACATATATATCGAGTGCATGTGCATCAAGGCGACATTTCTTGTCAATAATTCGGAGTTTATAGAAAACGATCAAATTAATTATCAGGTCTCTGTCCTGGGAAGTATAATATCAAATTTCGCTGAAATCTCTATTTACATTACAACTATACACTTACTGTACGTGTACACAGCAATCCAATTCATTCATTCTTTAGCATCCCCCACACCGTCAGGGTTAATTGCGAACATTGCTTCAGCTTCGGGTAGACAAGGAGAGTCGTATATTTTACAAATTCTTGTTTCGCCACGACCTTTTCGTAGGTATAACCTTTTGAAAATAATTGTAATAAGGTTACTTTGTATTTATTAAAAGCAGGTTTGGATATTTTTATCGCGACGCCGAGACCTCTCGTTTTTACCCTGAAAAAACTGTTGGATATATTATATATCAGCAAATGGTAAATGCATCGTTGTAAATTTGATCCATGTATGTTTTGTATAGATCCATTAAAGGAACGAATAGCATCGGATGGTGTTTTGAGATGGCTTATAATACATACAAGTTAATAATACAAGTTAATACAAGTGGAACACTTATATCCACCTGGGACCGGTTGTTCAAAAAGCCGCCGGGTTAGCTAACCCTGGGTTAACTCAAATTTTCACAATATGTTTTTTCATAAATATTTTGTGGATCAATAGAAGTCTTATTAGAAGCATATAAACCAAAAAAGCGGAGTAAAATTTAACTCAGGATTAGCGCTAACCTAGTATTGAACAACCGGCCCCTGGCCCTGAATTTGCACTGCTTGTGCATTATACGGAATGCTTGTGTTTTTCCTTTCTATAACTTGCCTTGTAGTGGAAGCATGGGCCATAATATGTCCTCCTATTGGTTTCTTTGGGTCAGTCTGAAATACGGAAGCTCCGTCCACTTGAGCCACGACTTGATTTGTTATAACTACAGCAACGCCGAACTATACAAGACCGCGTAAAGTAGAAATCAAATTAAAATACTAAACATATTATACATGTGCTACTCAGCTATAAATGTATTTATTAGTATAATAAAAGAAGTTAATATCGAAGAGTTGGCCCGCGCGTGGATTCCTAGCCAGATGTTTGGCACGGGTATTTTCCCCGGGCTTTAGTATTTATATGGCTTGCCTTGTTGTTTATCTGCTTATTATCGCTTCGTTCGCCCCGCCTTCCTTCCCTGACATTCCACCCGTCGGGGGATGGTTTCCATTTATTGTTTTTTAGTTTAGCTTCTCTAGGTTCAGTTGGTTTGCAAAGACTCCTACGGTATGTATCTAATTATTTGCTATGTGTGCATCGTGTGTGTTCATGTTTTCCATATACGGCTTTCACTTCTGTGATTCCGTGTGACAGTGTGATCACGGGATGGAGAGGGTACCGTTTAGGTTCCATATCTGATGGACGTACGCATGATTGAAAATGACAGTAAAGACTACGCATCGCTAGTCTACGCATAGACGGAATATGGCGGAAATACCGTCTATGTAACAGCGCCAAATTCCGTGTTCTATAATTATTTATCCCCAGAATCTGGGGGACGCTGTGTGATTGGCTACATATTTAATTACGATGCCTGATTGGCTACTCACGATCAGCAAAGCTTTGATTGGTTTAGAGTGGAATAATAAAAATATTTTTCGTGGGAGTCAAGTGTCAACAACAAATGGCAAGCTGTTAAGCTCAAACACAAAGTCTTCTTTGCTCCGTCCTTGAACTAGGTATTTGTCCTTCGCTCTCCCGATAATCTCTTTACAAAGGATACACTCGTGAGTACTCGCGCCGACATTGGCATTTTCATTGCAAATTGTTAATGAAGATCAAAAAGACGATAAGGTTTTTGTTGCAGACTCAAAGGAAGATCGACGAACATGTGAATTGTGAAATTTGATCATAAATGTTTCGTGCATAAAATGCGAAAATTAATTACTAATTTCAATTTACGTCACATTTTGCATAAATTACAGTACACGAAATTTGGCTCTGATACGCAGACCCTCTTTTTCCCCGCCTTTCTATTTCGGGCATGGGTCTGCGGCGCAGGCTAACGCATCGCCAACCTCGTTCGTTTCGCCGAGCTCGTTCGCTTCGCCGTGCTGCCGTCTCTATCCCTACCGATCCGCAGCGGGCATAATTAGTTAGGTTACTATAGTTATAATATTCGCTAAGCCTCGCCTAGCCTCGTTTGGCCTTATCTGAGTATATTAAAACATCATACAAAGGGTAAGTGTCGCAGCTCCTCGCAAGAATGATTTTCATTGGGTGAACTTTACAACACATTTCTGTTTCGACCAATAGCATAGCTTTGTTCTTTTGAAAGCATATAGAAAAGCATTATCCAATTGGACGAAAGCTTCTGAGAGCTGCGACATGTCCCCATATAAATACAATAGTGACCTATCAGGCTATCATAGCAACATAGTGCAATCACTCGTCCGTATTAGCAAGTATTTAAAACAATGCAGCGCTATCTGCAAAACACAATACAATTTACAAGCACAGTAGTTCACAAACCTCATCTGCCAACCGCAGTAATGTCCTCAAAAATCTTCCCAAATGCATTTGACGGTCAGCAAGTTCACCGCGCCCTTGATAATCAGTCCGGTACAGCGCGGTAGCACTGTCTACAATGACTAGGGAGTACCTTAAACAAAAAACCAGCAAAAATGAACAGTGGAAAACGGAAACTGGCTAAGATTAATAACACTCGTTTAGTAATGTGGTATCCGGCTCTGATAGTACACCGAGGCGAATCAAAGGAATACGTCTTCACTTCTAGATATGTTAGTTACGTAGGTTCTTATTATTAAAATCAGTTGCTATTCAAACCTTGATTCGGAAAGCATCGCTGACGTGTTGAGCAATAGTTGGGATTGATGCTCTGTATTATACGCTTTAGCATACGCCACGTTGTCCATTACTTGCGAGCCACTAAGACCATATCTAAAGCGAAAACCAGTCAAATACTTCAATTTCCACAAAGAGGTATATATTTCCGTACATCAAAATCAAACTATTGACAAAGCTAAATTTCTGCTACGCGATGGATTTTTGTTATATTCACCGGTAAACATCACTCATATTCACTGGTGAATAGGACACGCGAACATCACGCGAACCCACACGCAAGGGCAAAACTGATGGCGGAAACAGTGTTGTTGTTTGCTTGAAATTAAGAAATAACAGAAAACACAAAGACGCTAAAATACGTTTGACGGTAAATGCCTTGTATACTTTTACTGATTTATAGAAATACTTTGGCGAAGCTTAACCTTTGGCTTTGTAATGTATTACTAAAATGTATGCGACATGTGCGGTGGCTATTCTACAAGCTCAGAATATTTTTTTCAGTATAATCATCACTTCTGGAAATATTTCGGCGAATCCTCACAGCGGAGGGTCTATAAATGATACTGAATTATGCCATCCAAGATTGCGGGCCACTTTTGTGATGCGCTATCGTTGCGATGGTTCAATAGATAAGATTTTCAAAATACTGCAAGTATGTATTATAACAGTTCTCAAACTATAGAAAATGGTCGATCAATATAGAGACCATATATTATGTAGTTGTGAATTGTAGAGTATTAGTCATTAAGGCATTATGTAATAAACAGCGAGGAATTTAGTTTCGTTTCGAACGAATCGGCACATTTGTTTACATTTTTCATGCAGGCAAAGCAAATCAGAATGCTAAAAATTTTTAATACGTCATGTAAAATGGTGAATAATGTACCCTTTTTACTGAAAGTACTGTAGCTAATATTTATGCATTCTGATTGGGTTACTGAGAATGTGATCAAAAATTCTGATTGATCTAAAACGAACTCCTACTTGATCTTGCTTAGGCATTAATCTGCCCTTATAATATTAGTTACGGCAGGTACAGTAGCTACCAACCTGTCTGCCACGGCAATAAGTCTTTCTGGTCGGAATGTATTCTCTGTATCAATATAGATTGCTTTACCTTCTCCTCCTCCCATGTCAATAGGAAGCTGTTAAAAAAATGTTCACTATTTTCGTACCAATAACCAGAAGTCCAAAAATTCATGCGTCTCCACAGCGCATGCGCAAAATGTCACGATAGCTACGCGTGTTTACACTATATAATATTGAGATTATGACGTGATATTGACGTGATATTGATATTGATAATATTGACGTAAAAATGGCGAGTAAATGGCGTGGCATGTCCATATTTGGATGCATCACGCCATTTATTCGCCATTTTCACGTCGTGTTTGACGTTCACATCCTCATGCTAAATCTCCCTAATATGTCGTAAACGATTCCTCTTCTTGCGTATGAAATTTCTACCGACACAACGTTATCGTTGACTGCGTTAACTGTGAAATTTAAAATCTCCGTTATGTTAGGCGGGTTCACTTGATTACATAATATAAATTGTAAATGTAACATTAATATAGACGCTGTATCCTTTAAATCGCAATTCTAGAGTCACCTTGACCATTTGAAGTTGAGGAGGTAATGTCACTTACCCAGCATCACTAATCGATATGTACACACGCAGTAAACGTACCTGACAAGTGACTGCTAAAGTATGGCAAAGTTGAGTTTTCCCCGTACGAAATTCGCCAAATATTTCTGTTATTGAACCAGTTTCAATTCCCCCTGCAATTACATGATTACGGTACTAAATAAGTTATGATTTATTGAGTTGATGCATAGATTTTCATGCAAACATGGTATCTGTGATAAGACTCATAAGAGGGGTCTTCAAAAAGGTTATACCTACATCTTGAGTTAAAACGTCAAAATATAGCTAGGTACTATACTGATTGGTGGACTCGGACTACGCACTAAACGAAATGGAACCCCCAAAATAAAGCTACCCACGACTTTGCGAGGCCAGGCAGCTTTGTACCCAGGAAAAAAATCAGCTACCGTACTATATCGGTTGGCAAGAAAAGATGGCGTGCGGGGGGGGGGGTGGCGGTGCCTGTGTACGAAGCTTGGGCAACGCTTTGACCTCTAAGATACGGAAGCAGCTGAAAATAGCTAACCCAGTGAATGTGTATGTATATTAAGGCGGTAATCTATTAATGACTGCGAATAGGCGAGCTAAAAACAAATAGCTAGCTACGATTCACAGGCAGTTTAGTTATACTGATTTTCGAGTTCCTTGTTTAATTGGCAGGCAAAAACCAACGTTGGAGTGAGTTTTTTCCTGATACAATTTGGTCCCCATATTCCCAGTTAGAACTGTCGAAACGACCTCGGCTCAAATTTTGGAACCTTTCAAAACAGGGCTCCGAGCATGTGCAGAAGCAATTAAGTATAATGATGGATTCTATTTTGTCTCCAACAACAGCGAATTCTTTATTACTTCTACTGAGCTTGTGGCCGCATGTTTAAATAGTTGCAAGTAGGAACCATATACAGCCTATTGAGTTAGTATATTTGAAGAACTAATGTCCTCTTTCAGATGCATCATTAAGATTGATGATCACCACCAACACAAACCTTGAAGTAATTTGTCCAATTCTTTAGATCCCGTTGTGATTGTAATCAGTTCTGATCTTTTTGCATGAAATTCAGTGGCAGTTGTGAAGCCCATAGGTATTATTTTATATGCCTCTTGTTGAATCTTGTCAGCCTTTGCATCACTTATTCCCTTTATTCTTGTCAAATGTCTCTTGGATGAGTAAGCAACAGCCTCAATTGTGTACAAACCAGCAGCCTCAAGCTTCTCAACGTCACTTTTACTTATACCACAATCCTTGAAAGAGACATTGTCATTAAGCATCTATATACCAATTTGTATAGTAAAATTTGAGTAAAATTTCAAGTCTAAAATTTAAAAAAAAACTGTCAGACATAATTTAACACAGACATAATTTTCCATATTTCAATTGATACCATAAGTTTCACTCCTGCCCCTATCTGGAAAATATGCAGGAAGGCAGGTACCGTTACAGTAAACCTGACGGTAACCTCTTCTGCAGTAAAATTTTAGGTATGTAGAATTTGATGACACAATACAAATCGGGGTAATGCCACCATGGTTGAAAATAACAAGTGCATCATAGCAAGTAAATTAGGAAGGGGATCAAGAGGGAATAAAGTACTTTGGAAAAACCCTCAAAGTGCAGACAAGAATCAACTGATATCAGTGACTATATAAAATCAATAAGAATCAATAGGCTGATTTAGCCTGCATGTATGTGCCCATGTATGGACAATGATGCCACATGCACCATTTTTTTTCATATTCCAATCCTCTTAACTGACACAAAAGTGCTAACTAAATGTGTTAAGTTATAGAACCCAACATCCCTTACTGGGCTAAAATTTGGCAATTTATTGAAATCAACATACTGTTTACCAGTTGTTTACAGTTTTACCACAGGTGATTTGCTATGATGGTTATATAAACATGTGAAGAACATTTTACATTTTAAACCTCAAATTATGCAGGTCCATAAATTAAAAAATATCTGGTTGCATTTGAAATTCCTTAAAGATGGCAAATCAAAGATGGATTTTTCTGTACTATAACAGATTATACATGTCAAACAACATAAAGCCCTGCTAACATAAATTACAGTCTGGAAAATCTAATCTATACTTGTGTATGAGGGGCCAGTTGTTCGAAGGCAGGATAGATCTACCAGGGGCCGGTTGTATGAAAGCCGGATAGCGCTATCCACCGGATAGAGATTTTTTGAACCGTTCTAAAAATGCTAGAAGAACAATAAAATTTCAGCTTTGGAACCAACAATTATTAAAGAGGTTTCTCAATTTAGGAATTCTAAGACTTAATCAAAGTTTCAGCCAACAACGGAAGATTTTTTAAAGTGGTTGAAAAAACCACTATCCGGTGGATAGCGCTATCCGGCTTTCATACAACCCCAGAAGAAGAATAAAAATAAAAAATGGATCTGGTGAATGAATAAAAGAGGCTTTTATTTAAGAATACTGAATTATACCAAGCACATTCGAGTAATCCTAGAACAATGAAAAAGAACATATAACTGGCCCCAGATAGAAAACTAGTCGCACTATGCCAAAACATTTTATAATTTTATACAAAATTAACATGCAGTAAGGTGCTGTTGACCTTTGAACGTTGTGATGGTTTGGATCTGAAACAATAAATTGTAAATTAATGGATGAAACCAATAAATTGTAAATTAAGGCATGTTCATTGATTTCCATTACCCAGCAGGGTAGCCTAAGACAGATGAATAACGAATTTTCCGTTATTCGTCTGTCTTAGGCTACAAGCAGGGTATCCGCATATAAAATATATTAATTTCTAAGAAGTATAAATATACATATTAAAGTTTATTATATTTTGTAAACAAAGTTTAATGAAATATATTTTTTGCTGGTTATTACTCTGAAGTTGTACAACGATTGTTTTAAGGTTTGAAAATCGTTATTTGTTAATACAGTTAGTTAAGCTAACAGTATTTAAATATACCTGAAGTTTTTTCACAAGAAGCGGTGCGCCATAGGCATCTTCCTCGACATCCTCTTCAACTTGCTGCTCTTGCCGATGCTCTTGCGCCATCAAATCCAATTCGATGTGTCTTTTATACCCTTTATACTCAACTCAAATAAATGAACAGACTTTCAGTAATTTCAGTTCGCTTATTTAATAGTAGAAACCGCAACAAAATCTACGTATTTTAAATGTTGTTACACCATCGATATTTGTTGACAATCAGTTCAAATTTGAGCGCGAAACCGGCCCGCGCCAGCCTTCAGCCTGCATGGCTGCATCGCCCGACAATTTTACTGAGCTCTAAGAATGTGAAACTGGATAGCGCACGGTGTAGCTTATAGCAGTGAACTCTATGTACACGCGTAAAAATCATCATGTTGATACGAGTTGTTAAAAAAAGGAGTGAACAATGTTGTGCTGCACCCTGTGAACAGTATTGTTAACAATGTTGTTGAAGCTTGTTGAATCATAAATCTTGTTGCAACTTGTTACAACAACATTGCATTAACATTGATGATTCAACAAGCTTCAACAACATTATTAACAATACTGTTCCAAGGGTGCAGCACAACATTGTTCACTCCTGATGCGACAACCTGATCAATTTTTGGCCGTGTAATATATAGAGAATAATACATGGATGCTTGGAAATATTAAATTTATTTCTGGTGTTGAGAAAGATATTTCACTCGTTCGCGCATCTGTTTATTATATAGTAAAAAGTTGTTTTTTTTGAAAAGTTTTTTATCCCTCTTTGTCGCGTTCCCGACGTGACTGTCTCCGGGAAACAGCCAAATCGGAGTTCGTATTGGAGCAAAGAATCCAACCACGCAGAAAACAACTTCAGACGAATCATTTATTGTATATCAATGCGCGGTGAAACTACATTAACCGAAAAGTTATAAATAATTAGTATGAGAAACTTATACTAAGTTCAGATCTACAGAAAATAGGTAAACTTACATCTATTGCCTCCGAAAATCTACAGCAAAATACGATAAATCGTAGAAAAAAACGAGGCGAAAACCAAAAACAATCGAAATCTCAAAACTGTCTAAAATGTTCCTTCGAGTAACGTTCCGTTGTCATAGCAACGGCTGAGTAGCGCCCTGGGCGCTAATAACCAGGGATATATCCAAACTGTCCAAACGACCCTTATTACATCACACTCTTCCTGATTCCAGATCGGTGGATCAAACACGATAATCGCACATGTGTTATTTCTCCGACGTGAGCGACGAAGTTGAAAATTCGCCTAGGTTTTGTTTTGCTATTGTTTTTTTGTGTGGGCATAACCTATAACACGAGAACGAAGCTAAGGGGCCAAGACCGCGAGCCTCGTTCCCATGTTATGGCTTTTTTGCATACCATAGACAATCCAGAAGACATTGTCTTCTGGATTGTCAATGTCCATACTTATTAGTCAAAATGAAAAATGCATTCTTTTCAATTTTTGAAAAATTTTTGTAATGTCACCCGTTTATTTCAGATCAACTGTTTATTTCAGTTGCATGCCTTTAATTCGCCCAGTAAACAGAGCTCACCAGTCTCGGAAACCGTTGGTATCCCCTATAAACCTCATAGTTGAAACGGAAGCGTTTGAGCCATGCCCCTGAAAATTTTCCTTTAGGCCATAGATTATATTGCCGTATCTATTTAAGGTATTATTGCCTATTTTAACTATATTTCTCCAGTGGTGAAAACAGTTGTTGTGAAATGTAGCTCAGTTTTTTGCATGCATGTGCGTATCGTCAGTGGAACAAATATTTTCCTTTTTCGCTCAATAAGTATTTGTATAACTATAAAAAAATTAATAAATATACTCCCAGCCATGTTATCCATGCGAATGTATTGTAAACGTTGATTACCTTTACATTACTTTGTTGAAATAAATATAAAAATGAATTATTTTATACTTGTACAACTCTGCAGCCTATTAACACCATACATTTATGAATACTTATTTATACTAATTATATATAGTCCTTCTACATTTTATGTCTAATTATTATAATTTTAGAATACACGAATACTGACAGTACATTATAAATTAGAATAATGCAATAAAAATGATTAAATAAATATATTATAATTTAAACCTTAGAAAGGGGTATGTTGCTTTTTGTATTAAGTTAAATGTAACTAAAAATGCCTGGGCCCAGTTGTATAAAAGACTAGTTAACTCTTGCCTTTTTACAAAATTTGTTTATCTTCCTTACTTCGCAAGATATTGGCGATCAAAAAGATCGACTATCGAAATATATCCGGCATCTTGTTTTATAATGAGATCTATTTACGTGACGTCAAAAGCAGGGTTAACGCTTAAAAGATAACAACCACTAGTTTACGCTTTACTTTAGACCTTTCACAATTGAAACGTTATAATTTGAGATATACGTGCGATTGTAATACTATGCAACTATCACTTCGCTAGATCGTTAATGTGAAGTTACAGAACGAATTTTCACCCAGCTTATGACGTAACGCATAACAAAGCAAGAATATGCATATCCAAAATGGCGGATGGGAGATAATTTCATTCAAAAATATCGTGAGAAGTAGCTAATAAAGTTAACAAAAATCCGTAAACGAATTTTGCACATAATCATGTCGTTCTTTTAAAATAGACAAAGATATCCCTTTAAGGACAGGCTTGGCCAGTCAGAGTTGTGTATTTCTGACTTAGCTAACTAGGATTTATCTATGTAGTCAAAGTGTAATGTAGTTAAATAGTTTTATACAACCAGGCCTTGTATGTAAAGTGCTAAATGAGTGTTTTTGTTGTCAAGTCTAGCTTGAATGCATTTCTACAAATCCGCGTATCTACAATTATAAAAAAGTTAAATAATTGCTCACCTACATAATTATATCAAAAGATTTCTAATGCCTTTAAACTAACTTTAGCGTTTCTGATCGTATCTCTGGCATTCTACATCATTTTTCATCATCACTGCAATTTTGTCTTCGCTTCCAAATTCCGTTGTTGTATTAATATATTTACTGTTTTTCACGACGCAGCCAGGCAGGCATTGTTTGTACTTCAAATATTTAAATTTTGAAATGGCATATTGATGTTGAGGATGAAGTTTGTACCGTATTTGCGGCTCCTGACAGAAATCGCTTTGAGCATACAGATTCTCTGGATTATTCTTATATCCGTTTTCGAAATCTTTTTCCAAAACTGAAAAAAAGAATTTATATCGGGTCAACCGAATCCAAATTCGGACCTAATTGTTCACGAAATATCATCACAAACTCGCTGTTAACATCCTGTACACGGTTCAATTTTTCACGCCATTTGTTTCGCAACACAATGTCAAGACACATTACGAGTCTTAAGTTAGCTAGTTAGCTAGTAAGTTTGGTTAGTTGGTTAGTTGGTTAGTTGGTTAGTTAGCTAGTTAGTTAGTTAGTTAGTTAGTTAGCTACTTACTTTGTTAGTTAGTTAGTAAGTTTGGTTAGTTGGTTAGTTGTTTAGTTAGTTAGTTAGTTAGTTAGTTAGTTAGTTAGTTAGTTAGTTAGTTAGTTAGTTAGTTAGTTAGTTAGTTAGTTAGTTAGTTAGTCAGTTAGTAAGTCAGTGAGTGAGTCAGTTAGTTAGTTAGTTAGTTAGTTAGTTAGCTAGTTGGTTGGTTGGTTGATTGGTTGGTTGGTTAGTTAGTTAGTTAGTTAGTTAGTTAGTTAGTTAGTTAGTTAGTTAGTTAGTTAGTTAGTAAGTTAGTTAGTTAGTTAGTTAGTTAGTTAGTTAGTTAGTTGGTTGGTTGGTTGGTTAGTTAGTTAGTTAGTTAGTTAGCTAGTTGGTTGGTTGGTTGGTTAGTTAGTTAGTTAGTTAGTTAGTTAGTTAGTTATTTAGTTAGTTAGTTAGTTAATTAGTTAGTTAGTTAGTTAGCTAGCTAGTTAGTTAGTTAGTTAGTTAGTTAGTTAGTTAGCTAGTTAGTTAGCTAGTTAGTAAGTTTAGTTAGTTAGTTAGTTTGTTAGTTAGTTAGTTAGTTAGTTAGTTAGTTAGTTAGTTAGTTAGTTAGTTAGTTAGTTAGTTAGTTAGTTAGTTAGTTAGTTAGTTAGTTAGTTAGTTAGTTAGTTAGTTAGTTAGTTAGTTAGTTAGTTAGTTAGTTAGTTAGTTAGTTAGTTAGTTAGTTAGTTAGTTATTAGTTACGACCGGGCGAACCGTGCTTTTCTGAATTTTTATATTAATTTATTATACCCACCACTGTTGTTAGCTGGCGTATTGGAAAAACTTCTTTCCTCGGAATACCCATATTTGCAAGACGTATGATTAAATACTATATATTTATAAAACTTTTTGCTCCTAGGGTATCGTTCGTCGTTGGTAAGATCCGGAACCAATATCTCGATTTCGGTCCGAGTATTGCTTACAGGATATTTATTATCGTCAAGATTATAGGGACCAATCATAGCGTCAATGCAGCGGTAAACTTCGATGAAATATGGATATCTAGATTTAGGAGTCGTAAAGTTGTCATTGTAGATGGACACAACTTCCTTTTGTGGCCCTAAAATGAGGAATGAGGAAATATACTTCACAACGCATATAATGAACAATTATTATGCTTTTCAAAAATTCCGAGATGAAGTTATGAGGTTTTTTGTCACAAAATTATGGTTATTAGTTTAGAACCACCTCAAAGATGCAAAGCATCCTCGACGATCCTTTCACACGCGCATTAAGGATTTTTTTCATTTTGACAAATAAATGTGGAAATTAGCCATAACTTAAAAACGAAGCTCCTAGTCGTGGCCTGGTAGCCTCGACTTGTGGTTACTTGGTCGGTCGTGACAGTGAAACTAAAAATCTATCTCATTTAAGGTGGTTCTAAATTTAAGACGAGTTGTGACATAGTTATCAAAAGGTTTATTAAGAGGTGAGTTCATTGTGTTCTTAATTCAAAGCCATATTTCGACGCACATGAATAAACTTGTGCATTCTAAAACTATAAGAATACAAATAGCTAGAACGTTCAAGAGGTTGCGTGTAACAAGAATGTGAACTAAGTGTTTCACTTCGGACAATTCATTAATAATATTCTAAAGTCAACCCCACCATGCAAAGAAAAAAGGTTCACGAATTACGTTATATACCTGGTGCATTATCTTGATTGACTGGTTTCCCATTTATCAATGCCATAAAAAGCACCAAAAGCGTCAATCCAGCACAGTTTATTCTTTGTACTTTACCACCTAATTAAGAATTAATGTACTATA